GCATGCAGCATTGTCTTCGTATAAAATTGTGGGTTTTTTCTCACATTCCAAGCCATATTTTTCTCGAATAAAATAAATTATTGATCTCAACCATACGTATTCCCTACTTGCTTCATGAATAGCTATTATCTCAGCATGATTTGAAGAAGTAGCAATAATAGATTACTTTGTGAAGCGCCATGATATGACAGTACTTCCACATGTAAACACGTACCCGGTTTGAGATCTAGCTTTATGGGGATTAGATAAATAACCTGCATCTGTATAACCAACAAGATCTGCACTATCTTTGTTAGCATAAAACAAACTCATATCAAGAGTTCTCTTTAAATATCGCAATATATGCTTAATCCCATTCCAATGTCTCTGTGTAAGAGAAGAACTATATCTTGCTAGTAAATTAACAGAAAATGCTATGTCAGGCATTGTAGCATTATCAAGATACATTAGTGCACCAATTGTACTGAGATAGGGTACTTCGGGACCAAGGAGTTCCTCATCCTCTTCTGGAGGTCGGAACAAATCCTTATTTACTTCAAGTGATCGAACAACCATTGGTGTACTCAATGAGTGCACTTTGTCCATGTAAAAACGTTTTAAGACTCTTTCTGTATAGGTAGATTGATGGATAAAAATCTCGTCTTCTAAATGTTCAATTTGTAGACCAAGACAAAGTTTTGTCTTTCCAAGATCTTTCATCTCAAATTATTTCTTAAGATATTCAATTGCCTTTTGGAGCTCTTATGGAGCTCCAACAAGATTTATGTCATCAACATAAACAACAAGTATAACAAATTCCGAAGCCATTTTTTTTATAAAAATACATGGACAAATAATATCATTTATGTAACTCTCTTTCAGCAAATATTCACTGAGGCGATTATACCACATGCGCCCATATTGCTTTAAACCGTACAAAGATCTTTGTAATCTGATTGAGTACATTTTCCGAGATTTTAAATGTGCTTCAGGCATTTTAAATCCTTTAAGGATTTTCATGTAAATTTCATTATCAATTGACCCGTACAGATAAGCTATAACCACATCCATTAGATGTATTTCAAGCCTTTTACGTAAGGCTAAACTGATGAGATATCGAAATGTTATGGCATCCACATAACAGGTGAATATATTTTTTCATAATCGACTCCAGGTCGTTGTTAGAGTCCTTGTGCGACAAGGCGAGCCTTGTATCTTTCAACTTCATTTTTATCATTTCTTTTCGTACAAAAATCCAATTATAACAAACTGGCTTTATACTAGCAGGTGTTTGGACTACTGGTCCAAAAACCTCTCTTTTAGCAAGTAACTTTAATTCCGATTGAATTGACTCTTGTCATTTTGGCCAATAAGATCTTTGTCGATATTCTTCGACAGATCGGGGTTCAAGATTCTCATTATCTTGCATAATGTTAAGTGCAACATTATATGCAAAAATATTATCCACTACAATTTCAGATCGATTTAAATTAATCTCATCACTAGTAGAACTTATTAAAAGTTCCTCACTCACTTGAGTCTCAGGTTCATTGATTTCTTCAGGAATCTCAGAACTAATCAGATCTCGGGTCTCTTCAGGAGATCCCTTCATAGTATTATTTTGATCATTTGTCGATTTTCTTTTTCTAGAATTTCGATCCTTAGAACCCAAAGGCCTACCACGCTTCAGGCATGCTTTAGGTTCACTAGCTCTCATGTTAGTTGATGGTCCTGATGGGACATCAATTCGAATAGGCACATTCTCTGCAAGAATATGTGACTTAGTTATACTTTTCAAATCAGTAAATGCGTCTGGCATTTGATTTGCTATATTCTGTAAATGGATGATCTTCTGGACCTCCTGATTACATATAGGGGTACGTGGATCAAAGTGAGATAATGATGAAAATTTTCACACAATTTCTCTTTTGATTTTCTTTTTCTCTCCCCCTAATTGTGGAAAATTTATTTCATCAAATCGACAATCTGCAAATCGAGTAGTAAATAAATCTCCTGTCAATGGTTCAAGATAGCGAATAATAGAGGGTGATTCAAACCCAATATATATATTCCTAACCTTCTTTGGGGCCCCATCTTACTGCGTTGTAGTGGTGCTACTGGCACATATACAACATATCCAAAAATTCGTAGATGGGCAATATTTGATTCAGGACCAAAAATTAATTGTAACGGAGAATATTTATTATAATGTGTCGGTTTGAGATGAATAAATGATGTTGCATGCAAGATAGCATGGCCCCAAACAGTAGTGGGTAATTTTATTTTCATAAGTAGTGGTCTTGCTATCAATTACAGGCGTTTAATAAATGACTCTGCAAGGCCATTTTGAGTATGAACATAAGCTACAGGATGTTCAACTTTTATTCCAACTGATAGACAATAATCATTAAAAGCTTAAGATGAGAATTCTCCAGCATTATCAAAAGCGAATAGCCTTTATAGGATAATCTGGGAATTGCGCCCTTAATCGAATTATTTGGGCTAGTAGCTTTGCAAACGCCAGGTTGCGAGATGATAGTAGGCACACATGAGACCATCTTGAAGATGCATCTATTAGGACCATAAAATATCTAAACAACCCACTTGGTGGGGGAATAGGTCCACATATATCCCCACGTATATGCTCTAAAAAGGTAGGGGATTCAATGCCAACCTTCATTGATGATGGTCTAGTGATCATTTTGCCTTGATAACAAGCATCACAAGAAAATTCATCATTTGTAAGAATTTTTAGGTTCTTTAATGGATGCCTACTCGAATTTTCAGTAATTCGTCTCATCATTATTGATCTGGGATGGCCCAAATGGCCATGCCAAAGCACAAAAGTATTTGAATCCGCAAACTTCTGGTTTACGATAGAGTGTGCTTCAACTGTACTAATTTTTGAATAGTATAAGCCAGAAGATAAAGTTGGTAACTTTTCTACAATGCATTTCTGGCCAGAAATATTCTTTATAATACAAAGATATTCCACGTCCATTTCATCTATTGTCTCAACATGATACCCATTTCAGCGGATATCTATAAAAACTCAACAAGTTTCTTCGAAACTTGGAGGAGAACAATGCATTATCGATAATAAGTTTTGTTCCCTTAGACAGAAATATAATGGCTCTTCCGGAGCCTTCAATCAAACTTATATTACGAGAAATTGTTGAAACATTTGCTTTTTCCTTATGTAAAGAAGAAAAGTATTTCTGATCCTTGAATATGGCATGAGTTGTTCCACTATCAATTATACAAATATCTTCATGATTGGTCTTTGATCCAAACATAATTTGAGGATTATCCATATTCTTCAAAATGACATAAATAAAATATATTATAGTAAATATCATTATTAAAGCATAACTTTTATTTATGTACAACAATTAGATAACCATACTATCTATTACAAACAACCAAAATTAAAATATTTATATTTCTACAGATTCACCACCAATCACATGACTTGTTTCTCCTTCTGGGAGTGCAAAGTAATCAGCTACATCCAAATGCATGAAGTCTAAATTATCTTCAGAAATAAAATTTGCTTCAATATTTTTCTCTGTCTTCTTTAAGGAGGCTTGATAAAGTTCAACCAGGTGCTTTGGCGTATGACAGGTACGTGACCAGTGTCCTTTTCCTTCACATCTATAGCATGCATTTTTTGCATTTGTTGCTTGCACCGCTTCATGCCTTTGTTCCTTCCTCTTCCATTGCTGGAGGTGAGGAGGGTTCTTTGGTGCATTATTTTTATCATGATTAGAGTTTCTTCCCCGACCACGGTCATGACCACGACTGGGGCCACGACTCTTCCACGCTTAGCTTGGTGGAAGTTCGTCTCATTCACTTCAGGGAATGGACAAGAACCAGTTGGTCGGCTTTCATAGTTTTTCATTAATAGTCCATTATGTTGCTCGATATAAGAAGATGTGAGATAAGTTCAGAATACTTTTTGAATCACATCTCTTGATATTGCTGATACAGGAGCATATTCGAGGCATGAAAAGTGGTGAAAGTTTTCTCCAACATATCATGATCAGTAATATTATCACCACATAATTTTAATTGGGAAATAATTCTAAATATAGCAGAATTATACTCACTGATAGATTTAAAATCTTGTAGCCTTAAATGAGTCCAATTATATCATGTCTGTGGAAGAACGACCATTTTCAGGTGGTCATATCTATCTTTCAAATTATTCCACAGTATGACTGGATCTTTAACAGTAAGATATTCCATTTTCAGGGCCTCATCAAGGTGATGTCGTAGGAATATCATTGCTTTGATACGGTCTTGGTTTGATGCCTAATTTTTGTCCTTGATGGTGTCTCGCAGAACCATCGCATCAAGATGAATTTCGGCATCAAGCACCCAAGACATATAGCCTTTGTCCGATATATCCAGGGCTACAAATTCAAGTTTAGAAAGATTTGACATTATTCAGAAAAAGAAAGTTCGTACCTTTGATACTTTCAAAGTATTTGCTCGAGATGACAGAGTCTCGTGCTGATAACGTGTTATAAAATAAAGACTGTAAAGTAAAGACAAGTATAGAGAGAAATTGATATATTATTCAACTTCAAATTGATGTACATAATGAACTGAAATCTCCTCTATTTATAGAAGAAGGGAAGCTGCTGTGTAAGCTACTACTGCAAGCTGCTGTGTAAGCTGCTTGTAAGTTGCTTGTAAGCTGCTACTGCAAGCTGCTGTATAAGTTGCTTGTAGGCTGCTACTGTACCAGATATAGATAATTTTTTACCGGGGTAATGTTTATCCATAACAGAGTACCAAAATGATAAGCTTCTTGAGGAGACTTATTTCCAATAGAGTACTAAATAAATAAACATATTTACGTCGAAATCTCATATGGATAACCTTTTTCAGGAACCTTATTTAAAACGGAGTATTAAATGAACATCCATAATATAATATATTTATAACAAATATTTCTTTTTAAGTAATATATATAAAGTAAACTAATGATATGAAAAACCCTTAAAAATCGAGGACAAGGGGAAACATTTCCTCTCGGAAACTTTAGAAAAAGAACACGCCAGAGCTTCTCCGCCGCCTTAATCGATTGAACCACCGCAGCTCTCCGGCGGGGAATATGACGGAGATCATCAAACCTCCGATCAACACTCAAAACGGAGAAAACCCAAACCATTCTCACTTCCCATCAACTTCAATGCGAGATTCAAGCTTTGAAATCCCTATTCTACCACCAGAGCTCATCACTGAGATACTCTTAAAGCTACCAGTCAAATCCCTTTTACAATTCAGGCGTGTTTCAAAATCTTGGCTTTCCTTAGTATTTAGCCCTGAATTTGTCAAAACCCATCTTAGTATATGTACTAATAACAAGGACAACACCCACCATAGACTTATGCTGACTCCTCTTTGTGAGAAAAATCTTGAGGTATGTTCTCTTGGTTCTTTACTTTATGAGTCTGTTACCGAGGCATTTGACTTCGATTATCCAATAAAAAACCCTCTTGAATCTGCTTGGATTGTGGGTTCTGTCAATGGCTTAATTTGTCTTAAAAATGCGGAAGAACATTTATTGCTGTGGAATCCATCTATTAGAAAGCTCAAGAAAGTTACTGCTTTTGTAGCTGCCCCACGCCTGGTCACTACACATATGGTTTTGGATATGATGAGCTTATGATGATTATAAGATAGTGATTGTTTTTTTATAGTACCGATGGTCGCTCTGATGTTAAGGTCAACATATATAGTTTAAATAGTGATTCTTGGAGAGGAGTTGATGATTTCCGCGATGGGGTGTTATTGGATTCAGCTAAGTCCATGAATGGGAAGCTTCATTGGATTAATACTGCTAGTCGTCCTAGGTGTAATGATTGGACCATCATTTCTATTGATTTGGCTGATGAGAAATGGGAAAGCTGGAGCAGCCTTGCTGTGGAGAAGGATATTTTCTTTTGTTGCTGTGAGTGTTGGGAAGTGATCTTTCCATGTTTTATGATTATTACCACAGAAACTGCATAGATGTGTGGGTTATGAAAGAATATGGTGTCAAAGAGTCTTGGACAAGAATGTATACCATCGAAGAACTTCTTCCTGATGTGACGAACTTTGTGCCTTCTCCACCCCTTTGCATGTCAAATAAAGGTGAAATTGTTTGTGTTTGGATCAACTTTTATGATATACTATCCAAAGGATGGCTTGATCAGATATCCAAAGGTTGCTAATTTTCATTGCTGTCTTGAGGGGACCGTCTACATTGAAAGTTTAGTTTGTCCAATTTTATGATGAAGGCTGCAAGCACTCACGTGAATGACAATTATGTTGCTAATGACTTGTAAGAGTTCATCCCCTGCACATTTTTCACACGTGTTGTTAAATTTTGCTCTTATTTTTCTCGCATTTTGAACAAGGCAATGCTTTGACAAACGGACATCTCTTAACCATATTGCTCGTGGATCTTGTTAGTCATGTTCCCTTTTTGCAGTATTTTCAGGAAACAATATTATTTTCCAAGAAGAGTTATTTATGTTGTAGTGCTTGGTGTGTTAGACTTAAGTCAAGATGGTTTTGGACGTTGTTTCTCTTCTTGAGCTGTGTAAAGACAGAAGTTGTGCCTCTAGATAGAGTAAGGATAAGGAGCGCCAGGGACATGGAAATTTTGGCAGGTGAATGCGACAATAATGCCTAGGTGTTTCCATTGCGAGGGTTATCGTCTGATCTAGGGGCTTCTTTAACTAACTTTGCTTTAGGTGAAAACTTAATAGGGGAAAAATAATTATGGTGCAAGGGTTAAGTTCTGATATAGTATATAATTTATTGTTTTTTGTTGCTGCTCATAGATAACTACTTAATTTCTTCAGGGAGATCTTTATGCTATACTTTTGTAGATGTCTTGTTAGTTTAGCCATTCAATTGTGTAGTATTTGCATGAAACAATCATTTTGCTGTTGAATAATTATTAGGTGCTAAATGCCTTCGTTGTTTGTTGTCTTGAACAGCACCTTAGACAAGCTGTTAAGGGGGAAATATATCAGGACAATTTTTTTTATTGGAAACAACTACAATAAAAGCAAGAACAAAGATAGAGAATGTCAGATTGAGACACAAAACTTGCAGTGATTATGAGAGTGAAGTAAGGCTACATCAGTACATAACATAGGGGAGTTCTGACGGGACCCTTGTTTAAGAGGGTCCTATCCAATTAACTGCAAACAAAGTCTGTCCCTTTTTTAAAGCAAAACTGTTGTAATCACATTTTCTAGACAACAAACTCTCTTTAACGGAGGTTGGTAAGCTTAATTTTCTTGTGAGAAATTGTATATTACTCATGACATTGTGATTATATGTCTTGTAAAATTTTACAAAATACAAATTATTTGAGATGTCATGGTTTCTCAAACTAGAGAAATTATTGCCTTTCTTTAGCAAACCTCAAGTAATATAGGTCGATTTAGCAACTGTTTTGCTGAAAATCTGAAAAGTCCAGGTCAACGAACTGAAATACGAAGAATAATAGCCAATCCCTGTAAGAAGAAAATCTTAACTCTTAATGCACTTGATGCCGTGATTCTGGTTGTTTGATTTGCATTTAAATATTATGTTATGTCGTTTGTGAGACTTATCAAACCGAGAGAATGAGGGAGAGTAATGATGGATATCGAAGTAACTAAGTTATCAGTAGCTCTACTGGTGAAAGAATGGAAGCATCGATGTGAAAAGATTTTTAGCGGTGGTAGAGTTAGAGAAGTGTCAATATTGCAACCTCATGCAGTCGACCTTTCAGATAATATAGCTGTCATATATTTGTTCATGTTCTATCATCTATGCATACAAGTTGACAGTAGCTCAATGCACATCCAAGTATACTGGCTCTTGAAATGAAGCTTGTTCTATTGCTACAACAAGTAACTTTCGTTTATTTGATGTTTGGTGCATGTTAAAATGTGTGACCATGCTACCGATTAAAAAAAAAAAAAGTGTGACCATGCTCAAGGTCCTATGTGTTGTCTTTATATACCTAACTTTTACTAGTCATGAATCATGAAAGATCAATAAGGTGTTATTCTTATTGCATTTCTACTGTTAAACTTTCAGGAGCGGAAGCTGTTATAGGGAGCAATTTATCCATCTGCTGACTGCATGAATTTTGACGATGAAGCATTACATCGCCTCATTGGTGTTCATATCGATATGTTAATTTTCTTTATATGTGTATAAAACAAGGCGTACCTATGTTTGGTACAACCTATTTGTTATTTTGCAACCTATCAACCTTATGCTTCCGTTTATCGTATTTGTCAAAGGTAGTGTTTGGCTGATGTTGGTATTTACTATATAGTATTGATCTTGCCTGTGCTGGTTAGATTTTTGATGTTCTTTAGTAACCTAACTTCTTGGAGCTTGCTGAATGCTCCGAGGCATAACCCATTGTACTCCCAAAGATGTTGAGGAACATTGACCACAACTACTACACCATGTAAGATTTTGCAATGTAAAAGAAGGTGATTGACAGATTCCAAAGCATCCTCACATATGTAGTACCTTATGTCTAGCTAGTGTAAACCCCCTTTTTGCAGATTATCTTGATATTAACATGCCTAGCTACTGGGAGCAGGCCATAACAACAAGCTAATTAATGACTCGTCATTCATCTGATGTAACTTATTTGTTTATAAACACAATGAACTAATTTATTTTGTAGTACTAGAACAACTCCATCCAAACTATATGCATTAACTTCTCTTTTCAACACAGTACATACTATGAACCCTCAAAATGACATTAGAACATTAAGTTGAAATAAGCAAGAAGAAATTCATCAGCAATCAGTGATTTTAAAGTACAACACAACAGCCATAAGTCGGGCCTTGGAGATTTATGTTTGAACTCTCAGAAACATTTCAATAACTAAAATATCTAGAACAAATATATATCATGGGCACAGTGAAGTACCAATTACAACAAATCACTTAAGTCATCTGCTGAACAACATCTTTAAGCCATTAAAGGCGTACTATAAATTCATGTGAAATAATGAGAAAACAGAACACCAAACACTGCATCTTGTGCCTTGATATTTCCAACTTACTCACTTTTGATAAAATGCATCACCAATTTAATGAAAAGCAAAATTTCTCCCTCTCCCTAAGGGTCTTCATTGCCAGCTCCCCACTTCTGAGTTGCACGGACTGGTTTTCCAAATCAAATTTGTAGGCTTTTACTTCTTTCAATTGACAATGCCGAGGCTTGCTTCCATGAGAAAATGAATGACTCGAATTCTTTGTGTAGTTTAAACGATTGATGAAACATGTAATCATTTGGGCAGTTGATGATAGGATGAGTTTCCTAGGGTGGCAACACCATAGACAAAACATCCACAAAAGTTGGGCAAAATATAGATGACTTTATATCTACATCTAAAACATCCAGTTGAACGGTAGTAGCTCTATGATGCAGTTGCAAATTTTTCCTGTCGATTCCATTGCATTTGGACAAATGAAGGAAAATTTGAGACCAAGAGGTTGAGTTTGTTAGCCCCAAGGTTTCACGTATCGATTTTGATGATACCAAACCAACATAAGTCTTAATCAAAGAATATTTACTCTTGACAGGTTAAAGAAGGAAGTTTAGGCACTGGAGGAGGAAGATTTAATACAAGGGAGATTCTGGAGGAGGAAGATTTAATACAAGGGAGATTCTTACTTACAACAATCAAGGAAAATTTTGAAAAGGTCCAAGGCTGATATTTTACTCAAAAAAAAGAGACAAAAGATATATTGAGATCTATTCAAAAGAAAATTATTTTCATAATTGTGGAAATAATAAATGGTCATTAATATCTTCATATTGGAGAAAAAAGTCAAGATCCAAAGTCAACGAAAGAGGATCTTGAAACTCTCTTGGGTTGTCTAAAGGAATAAGAAATCCTGGAAAAAGAAAGAAGATTGCACAAGGAAAAGTTATTGGGAAAGAAATCTCAAACATGATCACGGTCTAGAAGTTATTAGCACAAATGTTGGAAGGAAGCTAAATCAAGAGGAAGAAGGATAAGATCAATCGGTGAATCAAGACACTGAGAAAATAACATAAAGATCCTGCAAGGGAAAAAAGCAAAATACGAGAAGGCAAATTCAAAATAGGTGATCTTGCACAAAAGGAAAGAAGATAGCTAATATTCTAAGAAGAATATTCTGCAAGTTCCTACGTATGAGCATGAATAAAAGAGATGTTAGTGTTGAGTTATAAAAGGAATGAGATCAATCATTAAAGAATCATTCCTTAAATCAAGTTTCTCTCCTAATGAGATAAAGAAGTCCAAGTCAAGCATGGTAAAAGCATCGTCAAAGGTCTTCCATCTAATATAGAGGAGATTTGCTATTCAAGTACGTTTTTAAGCAATCAATATATGGCAAGGAATTTAATGATGCTACTGCTATAAAAAGAATTTCATTCAACGGTCAAATCTCAAAAAGGAACCAAGCACGTCAATGATGAGGAAAATCAGAAATCATATCAAGAAAGATCTACAACAAATATGAACAGATGATACAGGCAGCAAGAGGAACAACTATTTAAAGAAGATTTAAAGACACTTCTCAGCACCAGCTTCGCAGATAACTTTCCTACTCTTTCTATACCGTGGTTAAACACTGTATTCTTAAGTTTACAAGTATCATAAAAGATAGAGAGAAAGGAAAAAATACTGAGAGGTTGTGTCAATATTCGTTTCTTTGGTGAGTGAGTAAAAACCAAAGTGCCGTTATTGATGAGCGAGTGAAAACCAACTTTGTAAACGTTGGTGGTGAACGCTATAAACCACAAAAGTTTTACTCAACCCAATTTACAAAGAGCTCTAAAAGATAACACTCGTGCAACCCAAGAGGATTGGATTAGGATACCACATTGGTTCTGAACAGTATAAAACTTACTGGTTTCGTTTACTTTATCTCTCTCATATTATTTCCAACCCTTTACTGTTTGTTGTGATTTACACATATTTAGATCGAAAGAACTAATAGCTTTGTGCAAGTTGTCTATGTATTAGTCGACTAAGTCTAAACTATCATATCCGTGAAATCCTTTCTTGTTAGAGTAATTGAACTGTGAAGCATGTTAGAAATCATGTTTAGGCTATTTGCTTATTCGGTTGAAACCTAATGAGGATATCGCTACTATTTTGAGTTATTTGCTTTAACTGTAATTATATACTCAGTCATAATTCTGAATTTACATATCACATCTCAATCTCTCCTATTATTGTTTGGGCAGAGTGGTACGAGATTTGTGAGCCCTTGAGACTTGAGAGATTGATGACTGAGGTGGGCCTGAGAGCCAAGGTGTGAGCGTTATTGTAGATCGGGATACATACCGCAACATGCCTAATTGGCTTATTTATTATTGTGGGTAGGGTTGCATGCCGCAGTAGGCCTTATAGGCTTTATATTAGCGCTTGGACATGATCTACCCCTATGGAGTCTGACATACCTGCAGTGAACGCATGCACAATGATATATATACACGTTCTTTGGTGAGGGGCATTGATGTCAGGCACCCGTACAGTATTGAGTGATTGTGTATGGTCATTTGGCAGACAGATTGAGTATTCTGAGAGTGTGAGTACTTGAGAACACCACCGTGAAATCATACATGTGACATGTGTATTGACATGTAGGCATAGAGATATACCATTCCTCATGCTAGCCCTACTTGACATATTCTTATCAGTGTTAGGTTTTAATTGTTGAACATGAAAGCATGTCTAAATTTTCTGTAACCTGAACGAGCTGATTTTGAAAATTAATCTAAGTTGTTTATTGTTACTGCCACTTTAATACATGTGTTGTCATTTTATTGGATTCAGAGTGTCTTCTTCTGAGCTCGTCACTGCTTTCAGCCCAAGGTTAGTTCTGTTACTTATTGAGTATATGGGGTCGGTTGTACTCATACTATACTCTGTACTTCGTGTGCAGATCCAGGTAAATCGGGACGTGGTGACTGCTAGATATGTGCTAGTACTTTCTTGAAGATTTCGAGGTAGCTGCTATGACGTCCGCATACCTTGACTATCTTTCATGTTATTTTCTTCAGTACGGTTCTATTACTCGGACAATTGTACTAGAGTCTCGGTTTATGTTGATACTTAGTAGTGTTCATGTACTCATTGACACCATATTTTGGGATGGTTGTAGTAGTGTTCCAGTTTCTTTTATCAGATGTTTATGTTATTTCCACTCTTGAGTTTATTATACCATGTTTTGCCTAGCAAGTGTGTTAGGCGCCATCACGACAAGTTGAGATTTTGGGTCGTGATAATTTTTGTTACAAATCCATAAAACATCAAAATCACGAATCGTCGATTAAGATCAATCTCTTAAGTTCATAAATATCACATGTCGAAACAAGCGTCCGATTCAAACCTAACCAATCCGGAATCCAACCATACGTTGCACACAAGTCCCAAATGACAAGACTAATATATTCAAACTTCCAAAAAAATATCTGAACTCGATAACATCGAACTCAACTCCCGGTCAAACCTATGAACTTTTCAAACTTTCAAATTGTCAACTTTCGCCAAATACTGCTGAAACCTTCTAGAAAATCCAAATACAAATCGGGGCACACACTCAAGTCCAGAATAACCATCTAGACCTAACGGGACCATAAAAATTTCGATCCAATTTCAAATACACAAAAGTCAAACTTGATCAACTCTTCCAACTTAAAGCTTTATTTTTAAGAATTATTCTTCCAAATCAATTCCGAATAACTCAAAGACCAAAATCGATCATACACATAAGTCATAATACACCATATGAAACTACTCATGACCTAAAACCACCAGCTAAATATAAATGCTCAAAACGACTGGTCGGATCGTTACATAGTATTATGTTGTAAATTTTCCCGTGCTTGATGATGGTAGAATAGTTGTGTATGAACTTATATATGGGATCGGGTTATACGCCACAATGGTACTGATATTATATATTACCAATACCATTACGGCATGCAACCCGATCCCATATATATATATATATATATATATATGGACTGGATTGCACGTCGCAACAGAGAAAATGTATTATGGTTAGTCTTGGCTGTTGATTTCTGCTACCGTATTGTGTTGTGAGACTAAGAAGTGAGGATATTCTGGGGCCCTCTGTCATTTTATATTCTTGTTTCTTTTATTATGTGTTTATTCGTTTCTTTATCTCGTATTACTCTTTCTACTTATCATTTGTACTTGTAAAATAATAAGTGAGTATCTTTTAACTTAAAACCTCATCACTACGTCACCGAGGTTAGTCAAGATATTTACTGAGTATATGGAGTCGGCTATACTCATACTACACTTCTGCACCCTGA